GGGCTCAGCGTCTATAGGCAATTTTTAAAAACGCTTCCATTATTCTGTAATATCTGTGCAAGAAATAAGGAACAAACGACTCAGAGGCAGGACCGAGCGGATCTCTGTGGGTTGCAGCCCAGGGAGGGGGCCAGACTCCACCACACGCTACCCAGGGCTGGGTCTCCCGCTCCTCAGGACACTGTGTGTGACCGCTGACAGCACAGCACCACAGCAGGCCTGCGTTCCAGGAGACCCGCTCCCTGCTGTCTCTGCAAACACACAGACTCTGTTGTTGGCAAAACACGTGGGCCCACGCTTCCTCACGCGACATTTCAGCACCCAGGTCCCTGAGGTCTGGGTTCCTGGGAGAAAGGTCCCCCGTCCCCACTCTGCAGACCTGTGGCTCTTGGAGAGAGAGGTGGCAAGAGCAGGCCTTGAGAAGGTAGGAGTGCCCAGGACCAGCTACGTGTCCTGTCAAGGTGGAGGTGACCCCCCCCGTTCCACTGTTGCTGGGGTTACTCAGGGGCAGACGATAATAGCTCGGACGTTACCATACTGCTCCTCACAGCCCACCTGGTGTCACCCACAGGGTCACCCCAAGGCCCAGGACCACACGGGGAGCAAAGGGGCTGGCACATCTGAAACAGTGGGAGGGATGGACGCCGACAGCTCCAGGGCCCCACAGGGCATGGGGCTGTCTCGGACCTCCCATCGGCACCTGAAGGGGACACAGCTGGACACCCAGCCCCTGAGGATTTTTGGTGTCACCTTTTTATCACCTCCTGTATTTTTTTCCATTTCTACTGGCCAGGACGCCTTGCCCAGGCCAACGGTCAGCCAATACTACAGCCAGAGGCCTTGTTTTTGTGGTCTTGCAAGGGCCAGGCCCTGCTGTCACTCTCTTGGTCCACAGCAGCACGTGGCCCTGGGCTCGGGGGCATGAAGGAGGCACGGGGACACCTTCTGACCATGGAGATGGCAAAGTGAGGGGAGTGAGGGCTGTGGCCCAGAGCCAACCCACCTGCCCGCCCGGCCCAGACACCCACCTGGTTCTGCCTGAGCACAGACACCTGCTTCTGCAGGCTGATGTTCTCCTCCTCCAGCTCTGAGTAGTCCTGCAGCAGGCGGGCCTCCCGGAACTTGTACTCCTTGATGTCATCCCGCAGCCGGCCACGCTGGATCTCCACGTTCTGGTTGATCTGGCGGGAGGCAGGCGGGTGAGCGGGCAGTGAGCAGCCTGCCCCAGCTCGCCCCACCACCCCTGGGGCACAGGGGGCTCAGCGTGGCCAGGCCCACCGTGACGGCTACAGGCCCACTGCGGCGCCCAGCGCAGCTGTCCGGAGGGGAGCCCAAGCCCCGGGCAGTGCGGTGTGGGGGTGAACAGCAAAGGGTCTCTGCCTGCTCTGACCCTCGGTTTCTTCATCTGTAACACAGGGTTGGAAGGAGTTCCTCCCTGACGCGCTGCTGGGGGGATGTGCGGTGGTGCAGCAGCGCAAACAGTCTGTAGCTGATCTAACAGCTCAGTGCAGTGACCACCCGACCTCCTCAGCGCACCCCCGAGAAAGAAAAATACGTCCACACAGAAACCTGTACACAGATGCTCAGACAGCACCACTCACAACAGCCGAAGGTGGAAACAACCCACTATCCACCACCTGCTGAACGGATAACAACACGTGCTACATTCACACCCGGGTGTTACTCAGCCATGACGAGGAGTGACGTACTGACACGCTGTAACACGCGCAATCCTTGAAAACACCGTTGAGTAAAAGGACCCAGATGCAAGAGGCCATGTGTTGTATGATTCCACTGATCTGAGTGTCCAGATCAAGCGGAGCCAGAGACAGAAGGCAGATCAGCGGTTGCTGGGGGTGATGGAGAGGGACTGCTAAGGGGTTTCTTTTTTGGAGTGAGAACATGTTCTAAAATTGATTTGGGATGGTGCATAAATCTGAATATACTAAAACCCACTGAATTGTACACTTTAAGTGGGTGAGCTGTAAAGGATGTGAATTCTCTCAATAAAGCCATTAAAAAATAGTTCCTGGGGGGGCCGGCCCGGTGGTGCAGCAGTTAAGTGCGCGCGCTCTGCCGCAGCGGCCCGAGGGTTCGCACATTCGGATTCCAGGTGCGCACTGACACACTGCTTGTCAGGCCATGCTGTGGCGGCGTCCCATATGAAGTAGAGGAAGATGGACAGGGATGTTAGCTCAAGGCCAGTCTTCCTCAGCAAAAGGAGGAGGATTGGCATCGGATGTTAGCTCAGGGCTGATCTTCCTCACCAAAAAAATAAAAAATAAAAAAAATAAATAAAAGCTCCTGGGGCCGGCCCAGCCGTATAGTGGTTAAGTTTGAGCACTCCACTCCGGCGGCCCGGGCTTTGTGGGTTCAGATCCTGGGTGCGGACCTACACACTGCTCATCAAGCCATGCTGTGGTGGCATCCCATATACAAAATCAGCACAGATGTTAGCTCAGCGACAATCTTCCTCAAGCAAAAAACAGAGGAAGATTGGCAACAGAGGTTAGCTCTGGGCCAATCTTCCTCACCAAAAAAAAAGTTCCTGCCTCCGAGTTGCCCTGAGGATCCAGACATCACACAGCGTGAGGCAGGCGTAGATGTGGCGTGCACTGTGCAACCAAGACTGTTGGGAATTCTCCACCTGCTGCTGCCACACACTGTGTGTGGGACCTGGGTCCCTCGGCCTCCATCCTTGCGACATTCCGGGGCCATCCTGTATGTACAGGATATTTATTTAGTGGCTCCTTGACCCCTGTCCACCTGACACAGCCCTCCCCCGCTGTGACAACTGAAACTCTCCACACACGGCCAACGCCCCTTGGAGGCAGAATCGCCCCTAGACAAATTCCATCTCCCTGCATGTCCTCTGTTCCCACCACTCCAAGTGGCCTCGCACATATCTGCAAAGGTCTGGCGCCCCCAGGCCCACGCCCCCCAACCCAGACCCTCAGCTAGAAGTGCCGTCACCAGCTGGCCCCACGGCCCGCTCTGCCCTCTCCCAGCAAGCTGCCCCTCCATGGTGCCAGGGTTTCTTGGGATCGCATCCACACAGACACGAGTCCAGGATTCCATGCAAGTCCACACAAAACAGTAAGGCTGGAACGGTAAAACGGAAAAAGAAAAGCAAAGGGGCGGTCGCCATGTACAGCCAGCACACCAGACACACGCTTCCTGCCTGAACCTCCAGCACGTGGACTCACGCGGCCCCTCATTGAGTGGCCTGGGAGGTGCTCGAGAGCCAACACCAGAGGAGACAGACGCCAAGTTACCAACTGGAGGAAAGGAAGGCCCCCAGGAAAGCAGGGCTCCCGAGAAACAGGCACAAGGCCATGCGAGGAAACACTCGCTTCCACTTATCTAAGAGGCAGCCGGAACCTCCAACAACATTCTGCCCACAACCCGGCTCTGCTACCTCCTTCAGTTATCGCCCCCCCGATTGTGAGGGTTAGTTTTAGTGTCAACTGGGCTAGGCCGCAGCACCCAGATATTTGGTCAAACACCAATCTAGATGTCATCATGCAGGTATTTTTTAGATGAGATTAACATTTAAATCAGCAGACTTGGAGTAAAGCAGACTGCTCTCCACAATATGGGTAGGCCCCATCAATTAGTTGAAGGCTTTAAAAAAAAGACTAGAATTCTCAGGAAGAAGGAATTCTGCCTCCACACAGCCTTTAGACTTGAGATGCAATATTGACTCTTCCCTGGGTCTCCAGCCAGCTGGCCCACCCTGCAGATTTTGGACCTGCCAGGCCCTATAATCATGGAGCCAATTCCTTACCAGAAATCTCTTTCTCTCTCTCCACACACACAGACTCACACACACCCTCATCACACACACCCCCTCCATCACTCACACTCACACTACTGGCCTGCCTCTCTGAAGAGCCCTCACTAACACAGTGACTGATACGTAAGAACATGACCATGTGCTTGTTGCACCACTGTGGGAAGGCAAGCTGGGCGCTCCCCACCAGCAGCTCAGCCCAACACACCTGTTGGGAGCACCTGCCCACTGAGCGTGGAAGGACACAGGAGGTGACACACAGAGGGGGCGGGGTTGGCCATGAGCAAGTTACATTCCTGTCCCTGTAAATGGGCTTTATTTAAAAGTCAACAACTCTCCTCAGAAAGTGGCCCTGAAGTGGACGGAAAGAGGACAGAGGGAGACAAGGGCACAGGCCAGGCTGACTGCCCAGGGTGGAGCCCTCTGCTCCCCTGACCCAGTGTGCCCAGGCTGCACCCAGGAACCTCTGCTGAGCTGAACCCACACACAGCTTTCCTGCATGGGGGTCGTCTTTGTTCTTTATTGAGACGTAACTACACACCGTAAGATCCACTTGCTGGGCCGACCCCATGGCTTAGTGGTTAAGTGTGCACGCTCCGATACTGGTGGCCCGGGTTCGGATCCTGGGCGCGCACCGACGCACCACTTCTCCGGCCATGCTGAGGCCGCATCCCACATACAGCAACTAGAAGGATGTGCAGCTATGACATACAACTATCTACTGGGGCTTTGGGGGAAAAGAGGAGGAGGATTGGCAATAGATGTTAGCTCAGGGCTGATCTTCCTCACACACACAAAAAAAGGATCCATTTGCTGAAAGTGTACAATTCAGTGGTTTTAGTTTATTTGGAGTTGTGCACCATTATCTAGTTCCACGTTTTCATCACCCTAAAAAGAAACCGCACACCAAGCCACACCCACCAACCTGCTCTCAGTCTCTGGATGTTCACAGAAACGGACCTAGACGATGCGTGGAGTCTGCCTGCTCCAGGAAGCTTCCGCTGGTACCGTCTCTGCATGGGCACTGTGCTCAGCGCCTGACCACGCCAAAGGGCACCCCCTGCTCCTTCACTAGTGGGCGCTGCTCTGGGCTCTGTCTTGTTCCCTGAAGCTCCCTAAAGTTGCACACGGACGACACGCATGTCACCAGCTGGCGTCAGACGCCACGGAGGAAGGCCCTGAGGAGGTGGGGAGGGGTGCCGCACTGAAGTCAGGGCTGGAGTCTGGACCGCAGAGCAGCCAGCTCCTTGTGCCACAGAAGGCCCATCGCTGCGCAGCCGGGGCCGAGGCGCGGGGAGGGCGAGTGCCCGCACAGGAGCAGCCAGCAGCTGGTCTGCTTTCCCTCGGGGGAAAGGACGTGCTCAGCCAGGAGGCCACAGCCCGAGCCCAGCCCTGCCAGAGCCATAGAGCCCGCATAGGGAGAAGGTGCTGAGGAGGCAGAGACTGGGGCGATGCAGCCACAAGACAAGAAACGCCAAGGCTGCTAGCACCAGCAGCTGGAGAGGCTCCACAGGGAGGACTGCCCTGCCGCCACCTTCGCTGCAGACGTAAACTCTAAAAGGAGGAACTTCTGTCGTTTGAAGCTAGCAGTCAGTGGCAATTTGTTATGGCAGCCCAAGAAAACAAACACCGGATTAGCACGAGGAAGGAGGTGCTACTGTGACAAACACCTGAAAATGTGGACGTGGATGTGGCGCAGAGCGGGGACGGCCAGGGGCTGGGAGAGTTTTGAGGATCACGACAGAACTGTCTCTGGTGATTCTGGGGAGGCTCAGGGGAGTGAGGAGAGCCGCAGAGAGAGCCACCCTTGTCTCAGGAAAGAACACGGGGAGGGGACGTGAGATAAAGGTGCTCCCGCTGAGGCCCTGGGGGGTGAGAGACCAAGAAAAGGTGGCCTTGTCGTGAAGCGGCAGAAACCTGGCTGAGCTGGACGCCTGGCTGAGATGTTCACGCAGAGCATTGAAGGTGCAGCCTGGTTTCTCCTTGCTGCTTATAATAAAACGTGAGAGGAGAAATTGAGTAGAGAACTGCTAAGCGAAAAAGAACCAGAACTTGAAGATCTGGAAAATTCTCAGCTTGTCCTTACTGTAAAAGGTGAGGAAGCATGTCCTGAGAGTGCCAAGGGTGTGGCTCACAGCCCAGTCACAGGCCCACTCTTCCGGGGTTCCAGGAGGTGGAGCACGAAGCCTCCAAGACAGTTCTCAGGCCTTGAGAGCAGGGCACCCCCTCGGCTGGGCTTCGCACAGTTGGGCCTGCGGTCCTTTATGCCTTCCCCTCTCTCTCTTCTGGAATGAGAACGTCTCTCTTCTGCCTGTCCCACCACTGTATTCTGTAAGCAGACAGTCTGCACAGGGAGGAATTTTACCCCAGGACAACGAGCCCCGAGTC